TACCCTTACTTTCACATATAAGAGCATGAGTGATTCTCAAGAATAAAGCGCACTGGTTAGTTCTTACCACTTTTTGTCATCTTATACCAACACTGCAGGATCCCAGAGCCATTGTGCCTCCTGAACCAAGGAGCACATCCATACTATCACTTCAGAGAGGATTTTCAGGTACATTCAACTCTTCTATCAAGGCAAGCAGTAGAAACACTGAAAACCGACTTGCTCTCATATACAATAACATTTAAAAACGAAAGGCAGAAAAAGTTACTGGTAACAAAAGGCATGATCACAAATAAGTTTGTCTTTACCTGTTATAAGAGGTTTAAAACTACCATTATCAGGTACAGGTACAAAGAACACCAAAATAAAAAAGCTTGTATTCTCATTTTCTCATTTGTATCTCTTCTTATGAAGAGTACGCATTTTATTATACTGAAATTTGCTCAATTCAGAAGTGTGTTCAGCTGTTAGGAATTTCTTAGATATGCACTGCTTCTCTTGCATTAAGAAATAACGTGGCTTTTAATTCATCTCATGTAGAGCCCTTTTTACTGCATTGAGTCAAAGAGAGAAGAACTGTAGTCAGACACACTGCAGTGCATCAGAGAAGATGAACGCTTTAGTAGCAACTAGACAGTCAAGAGAGACAGAAAGGAAAGTGAACTATGCCACAGATATCAGCATTCCAATTAGATTCAAGAAGTCACCGTATTTCACAATAATTAAGCAAGACAAACACAACGTGTCAGAACCAACAAAATGGGCATATCTAGAGACGATCTCTTAAAAGGTGTCATGAGACTTATCAAACCGCATTATGATTTTGCAAACCAAGTAGAGCTTTACAGGGTCAGTTCCTGGGTGAGAGACAGTTAAACAAAATCCACAATTAGCAATAAGTTATTCAAACGATTCACTGAACTTTCCTCTGAATTTCTTACCAACTGGCACGACATTCCTAGGTGCAATGTACGTTGAAATACGCATTTTCCAAAGACTGTCATTGTTAGCTTTTTGTATTCCTTAGAATAAGGCATTTAAACACATAGTTCTTGCCTCCCCAAACTTGTTCTTGATTTCAAAAGTGAACAACACTTTTCACTCATTTACCCTGACTATATAAGTGTTCCCCCTAACAAATAAAACAGCTGCCACACATCACCCACCTCAGCAAGAAGCACCTCATCAATAGCTCACTCATACATTCACACACACACACTTTCTTGCTTTACTTACAAAGCACAGTACTTTAAATTTGCTTTTAAATTCCTCTTTTTAAGCAGCTTCTTTTTAAGCAGCTTGTTAAACTAGACAAAACTCTCTCACGAGATTGAAAATCTTTTCCCTCTAAAGAAGTCTCCTCTTCTTTAGGTACTTGATTACTTTCAAGACTGGTTGTGTGATCGTCACCTTACTGATTAACACACCTCGAAACTTTTTACAGTTAAAACACAAATAGCTCTACAACCAACCCCTCCAGAACAGGAGGGTCTGCCATCAAACGCGGGGGATGATAAAATAACAAGATCATAAGAAAACAAACAAGCAAACAAGAAATAAACCACAAGAGCCAAAACACCCACAAGTCAACCAACTAGATACCACTGCAGTCCAGAAAGTAGGTTATATCTTGTCATTTAGGCAACAGTAGTGTGCTTAACGATAAAAACAGAAACTAGACGAGAAACTAATTGTCCTGCTACTTCCCACCATCTCGTTGTTTGTCTGTTTTAACCTGGAACAGGCACTAGCAAACAGCTAGGCTTATCTACACACGTGTATTCTCCAAATGTAACTACATCACCTTCTTCTACAAAGATGATTTGGCAGTATAAGAAATAGCTGCCAACTAACATCTCTCAATAGTCAAGTTACTCCTCGCTTTGCTTTATTTCATGTTATTTGCTTTACTTCTGCCTTCTTGGACCACCCTAAGGGATTCTTCTTCATTAAGTTCTTCAAATACTTGCAGATAATCATATCTCCCACTTAGACATCATTTAGCCAAGTTTCATGCATTTCTTTTCATCTTCTTTCCCTCATAAATCAATTCCTTCAGCCTCTTCAGCATTCTTGCTGTTCTTCCCTGAATTTCTTCCAAACTGCTGACATCTTTCAGCGACTGAGGAACTTCCAATTGCAAACACTGTACTCTAGATGTGCTTTTTGTGCTCTAAAGTAAGATAATTAAGCCTTTTCAAGAAATATTAATGCTTCAATTCTGGAATAAATCTTAATCAGATTTCGTATTTTTTTCTAATAGAATAGATAATAATTATCCCCATTTTACAGAAAAGCAGATAGAAGTATCTTAATTATTGCTACGCACAAGTGGTGCCAGAATAAGAAACAGATCAACGTTCTGCCATTCCCAGCTGCGAGGTCTGCCAAGTTTCAGCCCACGGACGATGTAACACAACATTCCCAAGCTGTGATCTATAGGTGAATGCGAGCCATTTCCTAGTGACAAGAAGCAATGTTTGAAGAGCCCAACACTTCCCTGCATGAGCAGGCACGGTACTAGTGGCCATGGGCACCAGCAGGACCAGAGCAGCCCATGCAGTGCACTGCAAGGTGCCATGCTTTGCTTTTACCCCAAGCCACCAGGATACAGGTTTCTGATACATCTACTCGATTTGTATTGCTTTGTAGAGGTTTGTTTCTAAAGGCAGCCCTCAGCTATCACAAGGTTAACTCCTTGAACAAGTTGTTCAATTCCAGAGGTTAAGACTGGTTTTAAAGACAAGACTGACCAACTGCCAGGCTGAGGCAATTCAAGGCAGTTTCCAACTTGCACGTTTCCTTCCCTTCCCTCCCACTCCCTGATGCATTTGTGAAGAGAAGAGTTATTTCACGGAGAAATAACTTCAGAAAAATTAAAAGGAGCTCTTTGAAAAATATAACTGTAACAGACTATACAAGTGGAGGCATGGCTGAAGAATGGGGGAGAAGGGAGAGAAGAATTGGACCATTTAAATTTAATAAAGGACTAGAAAACCCACAAACAGGATGCAGACACATTAAAAAAGCAACACTGACCTAACAATGGAATGTGAACTGCAGTTGACTTAAACAGCATCACTGCAATAGCCCTCCCCCTACACACACATCTCTGCAACTCTTAAAGAAACAGTTTAGACCCCTCCAAATTCTGTGTTTTCTTCTGTGGTAGCCACACTTTGTGAGATACTCAGGTTGCGCTGATTTCGCTTATTGCTTCCTTTTTCCAGATATCAACAGTATCCATATTTGACCCAGGCTAAAGAAAAGCAAGCTAAATTATTCCAATTGTTTACAGAGGTGCTAAATGCTACTATTTTGCTCACATATTCTTACTGAAAGAACAATAAATAGCCCTCTGTTTCATAGTCTACTGTTAAACATCAGAAAAGTATAACCAAGATTAGATTATGAACACCTTGATGAAAGGTATCATATCTTCCTACATTAACTCAATATGCACAGCAAAAGGTAACTTTCTAAATCTGTGTATGATTTTCTTTACACGAATGTTGATTCACAACCATAGCTCCTGCTTACCATTCAGAAAGATGAACAGACTCAGGCTTCTCTTGTCTTATGAAGAACAGCTTCCTCCATCCAATATGTAGAAATGCCAACGTAAATGGCATCCTCCTGTTATTCTTCCCTTTCATCATATTTATGCCTTTAGGGGGAAAAGCTACCAAAACCACTACATTTTTAAGCAAGCTTTCATCTCAGTTTTCAACTTGAACCCTTTTCAGTGTTAAGGTCATCTATACATCATTTCACCACCTACCTGAAAGCATCCATTTCAGTGAATGCATAAAAAGCTTTTCCAGAATAGAAAACTCTAGGCATATATACACCACGTGTAACATCTTTAAATATGCACCATGATTGCTATTTGCGAAGTCTAGCATTTGGTGATAAAATTGGAATTAGAGATAGGATAGAAAATGGGAGTCTTTTTTGCCTTATCAGAAGTGTTCCAAGGCAAACGAAAGGATATTTGCTGGGGGTCAAGATTAGTGCATGTGCATCATGTTAAACTGAAAATAGTCAAAAATAGTCAATCTTTGGCAAGAAATCAGTACATTGCAGTTTACTCTGCAGATCACTTCTTATGTGACTTTTTCATGTCATAAAACATCACAACTTTTTTTCCACTTGTACAATAGAATCATCTTGCTCATCTCCCTAAAAAGGGCTGAGGATTAACTAGTGACAAATGGGCTGAAAACACTAGAGAAACAAACTACTACTAGTATCTTTAAAATCTCAGCCCATGGATTTGAGCTAAATGCAGCACCTATTATTGCCTGTTGAAACGGCTCTGAACTACTTTTCTACTTTAAAAAAAAAGCAATAGTAATGACACTTATAAACTCTAGCACCCATCATTCCCCATGCTCTAAGCTAAGGAGGCATAAATCCTTGCTGTAACTCACCAAAGATGAAAAATACAGTACTATATAGTATCATAAAACCAGATGAGAAGCAATGAAAAACCCTCTCAGTATCTCTAAGAACTCATTTATCAAAGTGCTTACAGTTTTTGCTTGAAGGCAATATAGGTTGTAACATGCAGAACAGAGAAAAGTTAAGAAACTTGCATCCAGTATTTGCTGTTTCATAAGTAGCTACAGGTAAAAATGATTGCAGGTTTGTTTTCCTCTGATCAGAAGGGTTCTGGAGAAAACCATAGATACATTGAGAGGAGAGATTTCCACAACCCTTTCTGGGCAGTGCATGATTTCTATGGTACTGACACTTAAAAAGTCATTTTGAGTCCTCAGTCTGCTCAAACACAGGGGATGTGGTTTCAGGCCATTAAGTCTCATAATGCAAGTCAATTACCATCATTTACTTAAAAGTAAAATGCACCAAATTCGTCCAACTTGTTTCAATCTGGTGCCACAAACTTCAGGAAATGTTTGGAAACATTTAGACTGGCAATATTGAAAGATCTTCTATACTTAACACAGGTTAGAATACGTCAGTTGTTGAGCACCCACCTGGAATTCGGATTTTAAATTTGCCACTTTGTCCAAAACCGCTGTCTATTAGTCCATCTTCTCCTGTAGACAGTTTGACTTTTAGGCCCACGAAAATCTGGATGTTCGTTTCCTTTTTAAACAACGAACGACCAATCACGCTGTAATCATCCATGACCTGCAAAAGAAATAGGGCACTATCAATCTACAACCTCACAAGAAAAATTACACCTGAGATACACTGGTGACTTCTATCACCCTGCCCTTGGAAAACCATTTATCCCCAAATGAACAAAAAAACTCTAGATTAGTCATCCAAACTGCTGAACTTAAGGCAATTAGTGTCCAAAACTATAGAAGACTATGAATTAATGCATTTCTTATTTCACCTCCTTTCATTTAATACAGAGAGACTAAACCCTGCATCTGAACCCACTGCAAAGATCAGTTAATAAAGATCTCTTGTCTGCTTTGAAACCTTTCCATGAAAGTCACTTAAGTACCTATGCTCACGAAGTTTATTCCATTACTTATCCTACAGCTAAGTACATTATCTCCAACATAAACATTTCTGTCTCGTAGTTCCAGAACCGCACTCCAATAGCTACACTTTAAAAGAAATGACAATTTCTCAGAGTTTCTAAATGCAGCCTTTTAAATATTCACCTTTACATACACATTGATTTGTTAAACTAAAAGCCTTGTGACCATTGTATCCAATTTTAATTTCAAGGTTTGTAACCCAGTGGGAAGAACCATTCCAAGCCTGGATTCTTAATTAAGCTATCAGGAACATGAAGCAGCAAGGTTGGCGGGTAAGGCAAGATAAACAACCCTCCCTCAGGCATTACAAAGTATAAGGTGCAGTCAAGTGAGCCTAATCCGGTAGGTGTGAATATCCTTGTATACCTAATGTCTGCAGTTACTCTACCTCATAGCCACAGCAAGAGCATTTATTTACTTATCAAAAGAAATAAGCGGGTATTACTTAAACCTTCCTGTGATATTTTTTTTTTGTGGCAGAAGTTGCTGCTCCTCCTATCTCGAGAGCATTTTTTAGTTAAACACAGAACATTTTAAAGTAACTTAGAATGGTCAAAAATCATATCTGACTTTGAACAGTCCCTTTATTCTGTTTAAATGACAACTCCAAGTGTTGCAGGCTTATTAAGCTACTCTCCTTCCCTGGAAACCTATTCCTCAAACAGGAGTGCATACACAGATTCAAACCCCTAGCATTTCTTGATTAATATCATTGTTACATACGTATGCCTTTATATTAATGCCAAAACAACCTCAGCTCATCATATCACCCTGAAACTAAAATTTGATTTTTGTTTTCTTTGAAATAGGGTTTACTTGCTCAGCCATAACCAGCCCTGAAATGGCTGTGCAATGTGCACTGGCAGCACCTCACCGTGCCCCAGACCCCTGTGCACATGTAGGATGGAGATGCCTGCAGCCCTTCCTTCGCTTGGAGATAACAGCAGCCCCACTAGCTCCACTTGCAGCAGAGTCAAAGCTGTAGGCAGAGGCATTCAGACGCCTCAACAACATTCACTGCCTGAATATCTGCTCCTAGACTTTTACCAAAAGGTTCGGGATTTTTTTTCCCTTTGTTTTTTTCCCATCTTTCTCCCCGCACCACCAAACTGCGTCAAAGCAGCTTGTGAACCCATAATGGTAGTATCACTGCTTGGCAAGCCCTGGCTTAAGTTTAAAACCGAATAATGTCTTTTACTGAAGCGGCTGATACAGGTGGGGGGTAGATAAGCTTTCAGGCACACTTGCCTTTCTTTGGGTCTGAAGTAGCAGACTATCAGAAAAAGAAGCTGTTAATTCCAACCTGAAGCTGCACTTACGTTCTCAAAACATTCATCATTTTTCCAATTGTATGAGGTGGTCAAATAAAAATATTACTTTTTCCTATAAATCTTTTATGCCTAAAACAAGAATTTCAGACCTGAACATCCCCTCCCCTCCACTGCAGGCTACGCGCTTCTTCCCTTGTGTCTGAAACAGTCTCTTGCACTCCAGCGAGGCTCCTCCATATATATGCTTTTTGTAGCTATCCCCCAAAACGGCCCAGGAGGCCAACTTCAGACAATACAAACATCTTTTATTTTTCCAAGAGTGCTTCAAAGTTAAATTTAACTTAATTAAAAAGTGCATAACAGGGTGAACAACCGTACTCTGCCAGCACGGCTCAGTTCAGCCTCCTCTGGATTTTTGGATGTGGATGCTACAGGCATCACGTACCTCTGAGTAAACCAGTAATGACAACTACAGTTAATATATGCACATGATTATATAACAGAAACAAAAACAATCCCTCCTTTAGCCAATCATTACTATCGTGCCCATACCTCCATTATTCCTTATATTTATTATATGCCATTAGAAAAACAAGGGCTTTAGCAGTGCTGAGATAGAAAGCACTCAGCAACTTGCCTGCATGCCTGTTGGAAATAAAACCCTTATATCCTGAGGTCTCAGTCCCCTGCACTAGATATTATTATATGTTTAATAATATCTCTTCACCCCAAATCGGCCTATGACCAGTTTACCCCTGAAGACGACTAAATAACAAGAGATGGCTGCTGGAACAAGAACTAAGGTAACTGATCGCTCTCTGCAGGAAAATAAATCGAAGAGGTAGAGCTTGGAGATAATTGCTACAAAGCAAAGTCATTTTCTCGGCTTTAAGACAATTTCATAAAAAATAACAGAAAAAATAGACTTTTTAGTCTTTGTTTGCAAAAAGCCACAGAAACGCGTGTTGTTCTTGCCGACTGAAACTCAACACTTGCAATTACTTTACCAGTAATTTACCTCCAATCGCTGGATTTTAAGTTAATCCCCTCTGAGTTCTCAGAACATCTACAATGGCAATCGCTTTGCCTATTAGCTGAATAGCCTTTTGGGAGATCTCTCTGCTTTTCTCTCAAACACTTCTTTTTGTTATAAAATATTATTAACTTAAAAAGCCAAATGCCGCAAAGACAGTAAGGGATACGCGCAGTCTGCTCTGAAGCAGCAGCAAGGGGCCTAGCAACGAGGGCAGACTAATTTTATTAACTTCAGGGAAACTTCAAAAAGCTTTAGGGCTTTAATGCCAGACAGAGACGACCCCAAAAGTCAGTTTAAGTGCTGCATAAACAAAGGATTAGGGCAAGAAAAAGCTGAAGGCTCCTTGCATTTCTTGTTTATATTGTCATATGACCTAGTGGGAGTGGGAGAGGGCTGCCTCTCTGACTTTAATCCCCCATGGTGTACAGTGGCGTTTCAGTTCACTGACCTACATTACGATAATATTTTTTTAAATTTATGGGCAGAGGTGCAGCATCAAACTCACTTAAGGACTTTAAAAAAGAAAAGGGGGCGGGAGGGGGAGAAATACTCAGAAGAGAAATTTCTGGCTGGTATAGTCTCCCCCTCTCACTTGGGTTAGATCAGCAGCTTAGAAAGGGATTTCAAGTTCAAAGGGAACGTCTCTGTTACTCTTGTTTTATGGCTTAGACCAGAGGACACAATAGCACCGAGTTTATGAAATATCCCTTCCCACTTGGCTTTTGTGTTTGCAGGGAAAAAAGTAAATAGCACTTTATAACCATAGGTGAAGCACGTCCATCTCTGGCAAATAACACTTGTGCTAATACCACGAAGTTCACAGAAAAATATAAAGCTCCTCGCACTCTCCAACTCAGCAGTGCTTAGTATACAGTACAGTTGCTCACAAAACTGCAGTTACACGCAGTGCAAACCACAGTGTAACGCCAAGGAAGGACTGTGGGATTTCCCTGTGAGCAGGGATAGCAAGCTATGCTGCCTCCCGTGTTAAACACCCTCATTTTTAAGCAAGCTTAGAAAATACTGTCATCTGAACATCCTCTCAAACAATCTATCACACATTTTCATGGCAAATAACTCCCTATCTTAACACTACTTTGGAAAGAAATATGGGGATCAGAATCGAAGCACGCAACTGCAGATCAAACAAGCCAGCACTACAATAAGATGGGAAATATAAGATTTCAGAGAAAGTAAAATATTAAGTCGTATTAAAATGTAATAAAATGTAAATATTGAATACTAGAAAGACAGAAGTGAACAACCTTTTCTGATTCAACTTATGGATGGTTTTCAATTAGCAAAAAAGATTTTAAAAAGTGATAAACATGCCTGAGGAATATCTTCAGCAAACAAAAAAAATCCATTGAAATCAAAGCAGAAAACAGGAGGGGGAAGGAACAAAAAGAACATAAGACTAAAACTGAAAATACCAAGTATTTTTATTACCTTACTGTACTTTAAAAAAATACACTTGAGACATCATCATGATCAGTAACAGCTCATTTGTTTCCAGAAAAAGTTTCAGAACAGTTTCCATTTCTGTCAGAAATGGGAATATTTTGAAGGCTGCAAACTCCTACTCTTCTTTTAAAAAAGGGTTTGTGCATTTAGAAAACAGCTGTACATGACGACACAAGTAGAAAGCAACTGACAGGAGTTTACTTTCAATGGGGTTTGCAGTTTGATTCTCCAACAGCTGTTCTAGTTTTTGGTTTATTACCAAGACCTACAGGTGAAGGACTTGGTACACAGAAAAATTTGGTCAGCTACATCTTTTCCTTAAGAGCTTACATCAATGTAGCAGTATTAGAGGGTTTTCTTCCCGGAATTCCCTCCAGCACTAGGAGCTTCTAGTTACATGCTGGGCTCTAAAAACCTTCTCATCATCTTCCAAGCAAACAGACTACACTTCTACCTTTGAAGATCCACCCAGGACAGATGAGAAGTTCATCTCCTTACGTACTTCGTGTCTCATTACTGCTTTTCTAATAGAGCAAGAACCCAGCACAAGGACACCTCCACATATCCACTGACTTTGGCTTTCAGATGGCCACATCTCTCCCCAACCCGCCTTTCTCACATCAAAAAACCTCTTCCTTTCTTTGCCTTTTGCCTCCTTTCCCTGTAAAGGTGCAATTTCATTTGAGAATCTCTGACAGGCAGCCATAAACACCCTTCCCTTCCCTGAGCATTCTGCCATCACCATAACCTGGCTAAAACCAGTGCAGTAGTGGAAGAGGAGCCTTTATTACTGAGTCTGGCCATAAGGGAGTAACAGCTGCGCACCAGACCTGACTGAATTTAAAAAGAGGTGAAGGAAACATG